GTGGCTGGACCACGTCTCCGTGGGCGCGGCGCCGAGGAGCTGGTTGATGGCCCGCCAGTTAGGCGGCAGCTGCCACGGCCACAGGGTATCAGGCCTGGCGTCGCACTCCTGGAAGGCTGCCGCCTTCCTGGCCGCCTCCTTGGCCTTCTCCGCAAGGAAGGCGGGAGAGTACCGAAGGACGGAGTAGCAGCAGCCGAACTCGTCCTGCAGGGAGTCGCCGTCGTCGCTGAGGCCCCAGCCGATGACCTGCAGCGTGAGCACCAAGGCCGAGATCGGGTCCCTGACGGCAGCCCAAGGGCGCTGGAGCCTCACGATCCTGGCGCTCTCCGCTATGCAGGCCTGGATCGCCGCCGCGGAGGCCTGGCCTGCCCAGCGGACATTGGTGCACGCTAGGACGGCCAAGCCCGTGGCCACCACTAGCGGGTCCTGGCGCCAGCCTCGCGGCGAGCACTGCAGCAGGAAGCCCAGCGCAGCCCCAGGAGCCAGTTTGCCCGTCGCCTTGGCCGCTGCCAGCCTCAGGGCTCTCATGCGGCCAGGCGGGATGCCGTTGCAGGCCGAGCCCCATAGGGCTTTGGCTGAAGGGGCCCGCGCGCAAGACCCTTGCCTGCCGAAGGCCAGGCCCGAAGATCTTGTGGAGCCTGCTGGCCTGCCGCAGCGCCGCGAGCTCTCTACCGACCTGAGTCGCGACTCGCCTGTGGCTGCCAGCCGTGGCGTCGACGCCGAGGTCACGGTGGCCCGAGACAAAGGCCTCGGCCGCGAGCCGCCAGTCGGGTTCCCGCTGCAGGCGGCGCTGGAGGCCCGCCGTGGAGGCCAGGACCTTCGTCTTCTTCCAGTTGATGGGCAGCCGCCTGTCCGCCAGCATCTCGACCACGCCGCTGACGAAGCTCGCGATCGCACGGCTGAGCGTCGCTGCCGACCCGATGCCGTGGCCTGCTATGTCGTCGATGACGTTGGCGACCCTGCCGACTGGCAGCAGCGCCCTGGCCTGGAGCAGGAGGCCGCGCAGCATGAGCCTGGCCAGCGTCGTCGCGCAGGAGCAGCCCGCGATGATGGCGCCGCTGACCTCAATGGGCTCGCTGATGGCGGCGTCCGCCGAGGCGCGGCGCGGCCCAGCGTAGAGTACGCAGAGGGCCATGAGCAGACCGACGCTGAAGCCGTTGCCCTCCGCGGCCTGGCGCAGAAGGTCATGGTCGATCCGCTCGTAGAACTTGCTGATGTCGAAGTAGACGGAGGCTGCCTCGAAGCCAAGCTGGCGGGCGAGCGCGAGCCCCAGGTTGTGGAGGTAGGCCGCCCTGTCGCAGCAGGTGTTCGCGCCCTTGCCCCAGACCTCGGGGAGCGGGTGGCCCGCCTCCCACTTGGCGCAGTAGCGGCGGCGCACCCTGCTCCAGATACGCGCCCACATGCTCATGATGCCGATCGGGCGGCGGCCTCCGTCGGGCTTCCCCAGGAAGACGATCACCGTGGTGAAGAAGGCTGTGGGCTGCGGCTGCTGCTCCCAAGCCGCGAGCACCTCTGCCATCCTCTCGGCGAAGGGCCTGCCCAGGGAGAGGACCAGCCGCGGGTGGAACGCATCCCAGCCCAGTGCGGTCTGCTTCGGGAACGATTTCGCCGCCTCGAGGATGTCGTCCGCCGTGATAGGGGGCAGCTCCATGGAGCAGATCCAGTCGGCTGGTCTGGACCTGCACTCCCCGTCGGCACCTTTCCACAGGGCCTTCCACTCAATGAGGATCTGGTCCAGGGCTTGCTGGCCAACAACTGGGAGCGGCAGGCTGTCGGGGCAATGCGCGGTCACCGAGTCCAGCACCTGGTCACGGTCCTTTATGACTGCGTGGGCGCCCTTTGCCCCCTTCGCCAAGGCCTCGTCCACGAAGTCCTTCCAGCGCAGCCTGGCCGCCTTGGCGTCTTCTTTGCGGTGCCTCTCCGTCGTGCTCTCGATCATCTGCGGGAAAGCCTGCCCTTGCTCGGTGGGCTCCTGGATCACGTCTATCAGCGAGTCAAGCTTCGAGCCTTCGAACATGGTGCAACCCGCCCGCTCGAACTTGGGCCCCAAGCTCTTTGCCACCTGCACCAGGTGCTTGATGTAGCCGACGTGCCCCACAGGGGGTGAGCAGACCGAAGCAGCCGCCCTGAGCTGCCTGGCGATCCTCCCGAGGCAGAGCCAGCACTTGGTGATGGGGCTGAGCTTTCTGACAGCCTCCGTGCGCTGCAGGTCCGCCAGCTTCTTCTTGACGGTGCGGGGACCTTTGGCCCTGCCCTGGTACCTCTCTCCCTCGTAGATGCCGAACTGGTCGATCAGGTGGAGCTCCGCGGCCTCGAAGAACTCCTTGGTCGCCGCATCGGGCGTGCCGTCTCTGTCGGTGATGGGGGCTGTCCAGCTGATCTGGGTCGCCGCCTGCAGGGATATCTCACGCTGCTCGGCCGAGACCTCCGAGCCCACCTCGAAGACCCTGGGGGTCTTGAGGACCCAGACCATGGCGTTGCTGCCCAGCTCGCTGAACGTGAGCCGCACTGGTGCGTGCGGGTTCACGAAGAAGTCGTAGATCTGGTCGCCGCAGGTGAAGGTCGTGGGCGCGACTACCACCCCGCCCACAGCCCGTGGCCACCAAGAGGCGGCGAGCACGCTGGGGTCCATATTCCAGTCGGCCCCCACTATGAACGGCTCGTGGAGGCTGAACAGGAACTCCTGGAGGTCCGACAGCAGCTCCAGGTTGTAGCCAGCCATCCTGGTCGTGTGCTCGAGGTAGGCGCTGACCACCGTAACCACGAGATCGCCGAAGGCCACCCGTCGGGCCAGGATGCGGGCACTGTGCTGGTGCCAGTCGTGGTCGATAGTCGCCACGCCCCTAGACTTTGACGTCAGCACCCCGACGCCCGCCGAGACCGCCTGGGCCGCCTGCCCCGTGCTGTGGACGCTGCCGAAGGCAGCGCTGAAACAGTTGCGCCTGGCCCAGCTGCAGGCGTCAGCCGCCTTCTGGCTGGAGGTGAAGCGTGTCTCCTGCACCAGGATGACGTCGTCGCCTCCTCCTTCGTCCTGGATCCGCTCCAGCTCCACCTGCGTCTCTGTCCAGGTCGAGCCGTTCAGTGTGACGAAGCTGGCTCGCTTCGCTCCCACTGGCCTGATCAGCTTGGCCAGCTGGAGGGGCTTGACCTGCGGTCGACCAGGCTGAGGCTGTGCCGCAGGCTTCACGACTGCCGCGGCGGACGGGCGGCCGCCAGGCGGGCGGCTGCTCGCCGCCTTGGGTCTCCGAACCTCGGGGGGTCTCACGCCCTCGCCCGTAGCCTGGTCAACTTGAAATGGGTACCCACTGTTCCTTATGGGCCCCTGGCTGGGCTGAGGACTGCCAGTCCTTCGGTCGGGCCCAGCCAAGTCCGCCGCAGCGCTTGGCTCTGGACTGCTGCTGAGTGCCTCGAACTTGGTGTCGTGGCGCGCGTCATCTACGCTAAGGGAATTGACTAAGGAACTAGTGGTTCAGGAACCCAGAGCCTGGAAGCCGGCGGACCACCCGTTGAGCCCCAGGCATGAAAATCGGCGCTGCCCTCATCAGATAAGGAATCATCCCAGCCCTGAGATTCGATGTATCGAAACATTGAAACGGCGTGAGAAGATCACGACCGGAGCCATAGGCCCCATCCCTCTGCGCCATGTCTCGAGCCGGATCCATCTGTAAGGGCTCGACCACCGCGGGGTGCTCTGCTCGGCGGCGACGATAGGGGCGAATGGCCCCGGGGCCCCGTGCCCCGAGACCAAACAAAAAACACGACCGGCTCGGGAAAAAATGGCTCGCCGGGCGGGCTCTCGGGGGGGAGGAGGAGGAGGAGGAGGAGGAGGAGGAGGAGGAGGAGGAGGAGGAGGAGGAGGAGGAGGAGGAGGAGGAGGCGGAGGAGGAGGAGGAGGAGGGGGAGCCTCCGGAGCACGTTCCTTATAACGAACGCCCCCGGCGTGCCCCCCTCTGCGCGCGGCCAGCCCTCCCTCCTCGCGGGGCGCGAAGTACTTGGAGGGCGATAGATGGGGGCGGGAAGAGTAAGGTGGCCTTCTGGGGCCCAAAATCCCCCCTTCTGGGGCCCTCAAAAACGAGCCCTCTGGGGTCCATGTTCTGCGGCCCTCGCTGCCCCCCATGTATCGCCCTTCCCCATTACGCTCGGCGGCGAGCGAGGGGGAGAAGTGAGAGGAGGCGGGCCTTCTCAGAAAGCTCGGAAGTCCTCCAGTCTGCTGAGAAGATTACCCAGCTTTCCCCCAAGACTGTTCCGTCGGCGGCGAGGCAGAGTTGGCTGCACCAGCCGCAGGGCTAAACGGAGGCATCGAGAAGCGAAGAGGCCAGCGCGCACGAGCGGGGAAAGGACGGACAGGGCGGCCGCGCCGCGAGGCGAGGGGGAGAGGAGGCCGCTCAGGGGCGGACGGGTCAACACCTGAGCTGCTGGCGCGGCCAGCCCCGCCGGCGGGGACCATGGCAGCTGCCGGGCCGCAGCGCCGGGGCACCCATGAGAGCAGGGGGGGCCCAGGGCCCGGCGCATGGCCCCCCGAGGACGCAGAAGACTTCTCCGAAGGCGCGAGGGCGTCCGAGGAGTCCCGCCGCCTCCCTAAGAAGGCCCAGTCCTCCCAGACACGCATCGTCCTGATCTTTTCAGTGCGGGGCCCCTGGAAGCCCGACCCTCTCCCCGGGACCAGCTCTTCGTCCTGCACAACCGTCTGCAGCCCCGAGGCCCGGCGAGAGCCCCCCCCCCAGGCCGAACATAGCCAAAAACCTCCCGACCTGATCTTTCACGATCCCCCGGGAGGAGGGGGAGGAGGGGGGAGGAGGAGGGGGAGGAGGAGGGGAAGGAGGATGGGGAGGAGGAGAGGGAGGAGGGCAGGGTGAGCAGAGGGAGAGGAGGAGGGGGAGGAGGAGGGGGAGGGGCTCCTCGCTGCCCCCCCTCCGCTCGCCGCCGCCTTCGCGCCCTCCGGCCCTCGCGGCCCCGCGCCGCCCCGCCGGCGGAGGCCCGCGCGGAGGAGGCCGGGCGTCCTGCGGCGGCCGCGCCGCGCCGCCGGGGGGCCCCGGGTCGCCCGGGAGCAGGTGCTGCGTCCTGGCCGCCGGGGGCCCAGGGCTCCTCCTCCTCCTCCTCCTCCTCCTCCTCCTCCTCCTCCTCCTCCTTCCTCCTCCTCCTCCTCCTCCTCTCTCTCTATCCTCCTCCTCCTACTCCTCATCATCTTCTCATCATCATCATCATCATCATCATCATCATCATCATCATCATCATCATCATCATCATCATCATCATCTGGCCTCCTCCTCCTCCTCCTCCTCTCCTTCATTCCTCCGCCTACCTGCCTTCCCCTCACCTTCTCCTTCCCATTTCCTCCTCCTCCTCCTCCTCCTGGCCCTCCTCCTCCTCCTCCTCCTCCTCCTCCTCCTCCTCCTGCCTCCTCCTCCTCCTCCTCTCCGCCTCATCATCATCTCATCATCATCATCATCATCATCATCATCATCATCATCATCATCATCATCATCATCATCTCATCCGCTTCTCATCATCAATCACTCATCATCTCATCAATCATCATCATCATCATCATCTCATCATCATCATCATCATCATCATCATCATCACCTGGCCTCCTCTCCTTTCCTCCTCCTCCTCCTCCTCCTCCTCCTCCTCCTCCTCCTCCTCCTCCTTCCTCCTCCTCCTCCTCTCCTCCTCCTCCCTCCTCCTCATCCTCCCTCCTCCTCCTTTCCTCCTCCTCCTCCTCCTCCTCCTCCTCCTCCTCCCCTCCTCCTCCTCCTCCTCCTCCTCCTCCTCCTCCTCCTCCTCCTCCTCCTCCCTCCTCCTCCTCCTCCTCCTCCTCCTCCTCCTCCTCCTCCTCCTCCTCCTCCTCCGCCCGGCCTCCGCTGGCGGGGCGGCGCGGGTGCGAGGTCGGAGGGCGCGTATATCGGCGGCGAGTGAGGAGGGGAAGCGGGAGGCCCAGACATGATCGATCGTGACAAAAATCAGAACGGGAGGTGTTTGACCCCTCGCCGGGCCTCGGCACCGTCAGAAAGCGACCTGGGAGGAGAAACCGGTCCCCGGGAAAGGGTCGGGACTTCCAGGGACCCCGTCTTGAGAAAATCAGGGCCTCGCACGCCTGGGCTTGCAAGTTCTTCACAGCGGGCTTCTTCGCCCAGCGTGGGGCCCCGCGGGGCCCTCACAGATCGAAGCTTGGGTCTAGGGCTCTGGTGGTGACTTCTCACGATGTTTCAATGTTTCCGAGCCGTCGGATCTCAGGGGGGGCAGGAGATCGGCCAGTCGAGACCCCGGCGGCCCTCCCTGTCGTTGTCCGTTCTGTCTGCCAGGGCAACTGTCCTCGCGCTGTCGCGCCGCCCAGCCCCTGGAACAGGACCAGGAGGAGGGCCTCGCACCTGGCTCTGAGATCGAGCTCCCTGGACTTTCGGCGACTGCCCCGGAGATCCGACGCCTCGAAAAAAGGCGTATACGCCCTGAAAAAGCACCCGCGCTCCTGCGCCGCTTCTCGGGGCGGCTCGGCCCGCGAGGGAGCCCCGGGGCCCGACCGCTGGGGGCGCAGACGCCCGGCTCGGACAAGAAGAATGGAGGCCCGCCCGGCTCTCAGGGGCCGAAGGCCTCACTGCGCACCACGGCCCCGGGCCTCGGCACACGAGCGGCCTGCTCGAGCCTGCCGGGCACGGCGGGAGGGCAGGAGACCCAGACCCCCGACGTAATGAATTTGTCATTACGTCGACCCCAGAGTTCTCGACCCCTTCCCCAGGACCGGCTTGTCATCCTGAGTCGTTTTTTGACGCTCCCGAGGCCTGGTGAGGGCCCCCAGAGGCCGAAAATTGCGAAAAACCTCCTCCTCCTCCTCCTCCTCCTCCTCCTCCTCCTCCTCCTCTCTCCTCCTCCTCCTCGTTCCTCCTCTCTCATCCACCTCCCCGTCCTTCCCGCTCCTCCTCCTCCTCCCTCTTACTCCTTGTGCTCCTCCTCCTCCTCCTCCTCCTCCTCTACAATTACACAATATGAAAATACTCTCCCACTTCCCCTGATGGCGTCCCGAAGATGGCCGACCCCCCCCCGCGTACTGTTTTTTTACACACAGGATTCCCGGGAAACGGGTTTTCGCCTGCGTTTTTTTCAAAATGCTGCTCTCGCTGAGGCACCGGCCTCATTTCTGCTCCCGAATCGTTCCGAATCGTGCTCCCGCTGCAGCGTGGGCCTCATTTTCGGATCGGTGTTTGGCCTCCGTCGTTCAGGATGGCGTTCTCGCCCCAGCGCGGGCCCCTTTCTCGCGCGCCCATCCGCCCGCCACCACCGCGCCGCACCACCACCACCACCACCACCACCACCACCACCACCACCACGCACGCACGCACGCACGCACGCACGCACGCACGCACGCACGCACGCACGCACGCACGCACGCACGCACGCACGCACGCACGCACGCACGCACGCACGCACGCACGCACGCACGCACGCACGCACGCACGCGCACCACCACCCACTACGCACGCGCGCGCGGAGCCACAGGTCCGCTACGACACGCGTCCGCGGATAGAGAAAATCAGCGCCATGGTAAGGGATGGGAGGGAAGGGTAGGACGTCAGATATGACGCGAGCGCACCTAGCTTGTCCTCCTCCTCCTCCTCCCTCCTCCTCCTCCTCCTCCTCCTCCTCCTCCTCCTCCTCCTCCTCCTCCTTCCTCCTCCCTCTTCCATCTTCCCTCCTCCTCAGGAACCCCCTTCAGCAGAACGTGGGCTTGGTGAAAACGACCTCGGGCCCGAACCTGGCGGGCGCAAGCCTGGAACATGATGGCCGCGGCGCCCTCTCGAGGAGCGCAAACGGACAACTCACGAATCGACGTGTCAGGGTGGGGGTTCTGTTCGCCCCGGAATGCTGCCCGCCAGGCTCCTGAGAGGACGAGCAGACAGATTCGATGATTTGCGGGCACGCGGGCAGGAGGCCGAAAACTACAAGAGCTGTAATTTGATTGTTCCCTGATAGCGCTTCGCTGGAGGCTTCTGATACTGCTTTTCTAAATAATTCTAAATAAACAGAAAGGGACGAGTAGCCATTTCGCCTGAGACTTCCATACAATTGATTCAAGAATCCGTAGGAATACCCGGAATCGAAGGCAAGATCTGTCAACATCGGATCGGCAATCTAGATCGGATCGGCCTGTGCGTCGGATCGAAGGGCCAGGCACAGTGGTGGTGGGTAGGCCTTCGGCAGAAGAGCGTTGAAAGTAAGATCAGTCAGCATCGAAGCGGTAATCCGGATCGGATCGGAATGTGCGTCGGATCGCGCTGCATCGGCACGGAGTCGAAATCGAATCGGACCGGCTGCGCCAGGATATGCAGCAGCGCCATGCCAGCATCGGGAAGCGTCGGACCGTCGGAGTATCGGAGTCGGATCAGGCCAGCCGAAATCGATATCGAGCCAGATCGATCGAATGGAAATGGGCCCAGGCGTCGTGCACCCAAAAAGAGCACACCAGACCTCGACAGCAGCTGTTGGTTTCGGTCCCATGTGTCCTGTATTTCAACCTCTGGGGCACAGCGCCTTGCTTGGTCAAGTGTACGGAGTCCTAGGCGAGAGCGCGATTCCTAGGTAAATTGTGGGGAAGTTGCGAGCGAGCGAACGATTTTGAATAAACGGTGCGGAATTATCAGGCGGGAGCCGTCGCTGTGGTAGTCCTGGGGGCCACAAGCTGTTTAAATAGGAAGGCTTTCACTGATAAGAAGCCGGGTGCCAGCCCCAGTGGGGAAGCCTTCAATGTCAAACATAAGAAGCACTGGGCAGAAGGGATCAGGAATAAGTGTTCAGAAATGAAAGCAAGACAAACCTATGCGAAAAAGCCTCTAGGCCGGGGGGGCCAAAAATCTACTCCTCAACTCAGAGAATGCGCTCCAGCCAGAATATTGAGGCAAATCTTGCCGTAGCGGCGAGGAGCTGGAGGAAACACCCAAGAAGACACCCCGAGACCTCCATCCCCGAACCTGGATCCTCAAACCTCGGCCCTCGACGACGGCGGCGACGACCGCTCCCGAGCCCGTCCGCTCCTGCAGAGGCCTCCCAGCAGGTGGGATACGCGTCAGGGGGAGGAAGGGGGGGAAACGGGGGGAGGGCATAGCGTAACGTTATGTCGGGCCTGACCCCCTACAGGGGGATTTTCGACGAAGAATAAAAAATACACCGAAAATTATCAAAAGATAATCCAAAAATAGTCGGGGACTATTTTTTGAATATGTGTTGACCATTTGGGGATATTGATGGTGCATTTTTAATTTTTCATCGAAAATCCCCCTGTAGGGGGACAGGCCCGACCTAAGCGTAACGCCCCCCCCCCGCCGCGTGGCTCACGCATCACAGACTGTGGTGCCAGACGCACCGCAGCGGTGCTGGGGACGCACTGGGGGGGAAGCCTGAACGTTTTGCGGGGGGAGGGAGGGGGAGGCATAACGCGCGTCTTCATGGCCCAGAGGGTTCAAAAACGCTCTCTCAATGGAGTCGAAGCATCGCGCCGCGTCGCCGACGCATGGCAGATGCATCGGCAGTGCATCGACGATGCATCGGCGATGCATCGGCACCGCACGCGACGCATCGGCGCTGTCGGCGCGAAGAAAACATGGCTCCACGTCGGGCCGCATCGCCGACGCAAAGGCGACGCAGCGCGATCCTCCAACCCCGTCGACTCTCGAACAACAACATGGCATAAACATGACCTGTCGGTGGTCCGCGCTGATTTCCTGGAACGGCGCTGGACCCCCCTCCCTGGCGCGCAGAGAGGCGCTGCCGGGGGGGCTCCAGCGCCGACCCAAGAAGTCTTCCGAGCAGTTCTAGACGGATGCCGTGCCTGGCCCCTCGATGCTCGAACCCCACTTGTGGAGGCCCGGAGGCCCGCGACGTCCGCCCCACCCAGACATCCGACGCTAGAAGCCTCCTAGATGGGGTCCGAGTAGATGGGGTCGGAGGATCTCGCCGCATCGCCGATGCATCGACGATGCATCGTCGATGCATCGGTGATGCATGGGCCATTCACTGGCGACGTCGGCGGTACATCCGCGACGTCGGCGTGCGGAAAAATGGACCCCGCATCGAGCCGCATTGCCGATGCATCGCCGATGCACCGGCGATGCGGCGCGATCCTCCGACCCCATCTACTCCGACCCCATCTAGGAGGCCTAGAGACGCCAGGACCGGCGTTTCGACCCGGGCCGCGATGGCACGGCCCCAGAGCCCGACACCCAGGGCCCCCCCCAGCAGGCCGAGGCCGAGGAGAGGCCGACGGCTGAGCAGAGAACAGTGCCGCCAGAGGTCCGGGTCCCCGCCTCGCTCTGCCTTTTTGGCGGCGCGCACCACTCGCCATCGCTCGGAGCGTCCATTCCCCGTGCGTGCTTCGGCTTCGTGCGCTTATCTGATCACAAGATGAGCCAAGACGCTCTTCGATGCTCCTCGCCGAGGAGAGCATACACACGTCCGAGCGATACCAAGCACAAGGGGGCAGAGGGAGAGGGGAAGGCTTCTCAGGAGGAGGCTGGCTCTTCTCTTAGAAGGCGCAGGCCCTGCATCTGCACGTAAACCCCGCGACTTTTCACCAGCAGGGTGCTTCTAAGAAGCCTCCCCCCCTCCCCCTACCCCCCTCTTCGCGTGGCGGGCCCTCCATCCAAACCCCTCTCCCCCCCTCCCCCCGTCCTCGGCAGTGGCGACGCGCGTTCCAAGGGTGCTCGCGAGATCCCCCGAGATCCGACGTCGCGAAAAAACTCCAACATCGCAGAACAAACACACACACCAAAACAAAACAACAAAAAAACAAAAACAACAACAACAACCACAACAACAACAACAACAACAACAACAACAACAACAACAACAACAACAACAGCAGCAGCAGCAGCAGCAGCAGCAGCAACAACAACAACAACAACAACAACAAAAGAAACAACTACAACAAAATCGCGACCGGACACCTGGACCCCATGTTTCTGCTGCATTCTTCGGGGCGCATCCGTCTGTGACAGCCCCGGGGCCCAAAACCCAGCGAGAACGCCCGCGGTGAAGCAACAACAGCAACAAAAAAAGCACAGCACCTGCACAGCGGCAAGGAGTCGAGGAGACGAGCCCGGGAGCAGGAGGTCGGCCTGCAGAGGGGGCACAGGGGCGAGACCACGGCCGTGCGCACCGTGGTGTGCATTTTACCAGGGATCGTGGCCGTCCGGGCCGAGCATGCAGCCGGCACTGTTGGTGATATGGGGAAAACAAATCTCCTTCCTCCTCTTCCTCCTCCTCCTCCTTCTCCCCCTCCTCCTCCTCCTCGTCGTCGTCGTCGTCGGCGGCGGCGGAGGGGAACAAAAAAATAGTTTCCGCTGTTGTCGGGGCCCCAGTCCGTCAAGAAGGTCCGTCAAGGGGGGCAAACAAACCTACCTCGCTTTTGACCACCCTCGCTTCCAAGAGATACCAGGCGATGCCAAACTACGGCCAGTCCTGGTCAGGCCGCTTGACGAGGAGGCGCGTGGTATGACTTGGTTTTGCCTGGAAGCGAAAGCGGGGTAGGTAATTCACGCTCTGAGATGAGCAGGGGCCGACCGTCCCCGAATTCCTATAGGCCCACCACGGCGGGTCCTCAGAACCAAAAAAAAAGCTATCGGAAGCCAGGCAAGGCTCTTAGACCACAGGCCCGATGCATCAAAACAGGACGGTCTCAACCATACACGTGTCAAGAGCATCCCGCGCAGACCACAAAACGTTCTTAGAACCTTCGTTGGTGGGCCTATGAGCAAGCCAGGGCGCTTCGCCACTGCTTGACATTGGGGCGAGAGCCCGATTCCTGAATACCCATCGGTCGGAAGAAGTAGGTCGAAAGATGAAGTAGGAAGGCGTTGCAAGTAGATTGGGTTCCGTCCGACGGAGAAGGTGAAGCCACTCGATCATGTAGGCAGGAAGGCGCCAACAAAAGTATACTGGAATCTGGGAAGCCAACATACCTACCTTCAACAACCGATAGGTAGACTGCGAGGAAGTCTCGGGCGAAACGGCCGCCGCACCGCGCGGTCTGCGGCTCCCAGCTCCCCCTGTGGGACTCTTCTGCGGCCCTCCTTGTACCCCTATTTGGTGGCACGCAGAGGAGGGCAGGGGAACGGGGGAAGGCTTCTTAGAAGGAGGCTGCGTCTCAGAAGGCGCCGACATTACGTCTACAGACGAGGCCTGCACCTTCGAGGAAGCAGCCTCCTTCTAAAGAAGCCCTCCCCCTCCCCCTAACCCCCTCTGCGCGCCGCCGACCCAGCACGAGCTATCTGGCGCAACGCTGCTGGGGAAATTCCAGCGCTTGGACCTCAGGGGCCGAGCTCATCACATCGTCGGAGATCGGGGACCTTCCCAAAGCGACGCCCTGACTTTTTCCGTGCGGGGTCCCCCGAAAATCCTGGCCCGATCGGGAAATTCCAGCGCTTGAACCTCAGGGGCTGAGCTCATCACATCGTCGGAGATCGGGGACCTTCCCAGAGCGACGCCCCGACTTTTTCCCGTGCGGGCTCCCCCGAAAAAGTCCTGGCCCTTATCCTCGGGGCAGGCTCCTCCTCCCGAGCCCGTGCTTCGCGGCCAGGGGGGCCCGGCGAGGACACCCAGACTCGGGTCGGGCGAAAGGGGGGGATAGCAAAGGGGGGGTTTGAGAATCAGCTCACGTAGCTGATTTTCCCGGCGCCTCCCGGCGCCGGGAGGCGGCTATGTATCGAGGAATGGGCCCCTCGGCGAGGCCGAAACCAGCTGCATGCAGCAAATTTCGTAACCCCCCCTTTCCCAATCCCCCCCTTTCGCCCGGCCCGACAGACGCAGCAAACGACGAGAAGCCTCCGTGCTGATGTCTGCAAGCCGGAAAAAAAACAAGAAAACGAGATTCGGGAAAAGCTCTCCACGAGATTGTCTCACTGCCGCGACTGAGCACAGCGGGCAGGACGGGTCGTTGTCCATGGGCGCCTGAGTCCCAAACCAGCCTACCCTGAGGCGGACTCGCGCATCGCACAATATATCCCTGGAGGCGGTGGAAGGTGGATGGCCAAATGAATGTATCGGAGCGCGACGTGGAAGAAAAACAATATATACCTCAAAGGACAACGGAAGGGAGCAATGAAAGTGCATGACAAATCCCCCTGCCGGCAGATTGAACGCTGTGGAAAAAATGCAATCCAGACGGCCGCGACGACCTGGATAAGAGTGACCTTTGGTGCGCGGCTTTTTGGGGGCCGCGGGGGAACCAATACACAAGCGGGCAAGACACTGCTGTCGCAACGCGCTCGGCGATCGGGGGACCCCAGTGGACCCGCACCAAAAGTCAAATCCAGCGAAAGGTCACTGTTACGTGTAGTTGGAAAAGCTTCACGCCGGTCGGAAGAAGTGGGTAGAAACATGAAGCAAGAAGGCGCTGGAAACAGATCGGGTTTCTGCCCGCCCCCTGAAGAGGAGGGAAGAAGAAAACCGGTCGATCCTTGAAGTAGGAAGGCACCAAAACTAGATTCTGGGATCTGGGAACCCAGACATGCGACTTCCTGATTTTTTCCAGGACGGGGTCCCTGGAACTCCCGACCCCTTCCCCGGGACCGGATCTTCATCCTGAGCCGTTTTTTGACGGTCCCGAGGCCCGGCGAGGGCTCCCCGAGGCCGAAATTGGCCCAAAACTTCCGGCCCTGATTATTGTACGACGCGGCCACGTCTGTAGAGGCCTCCTAGATGGGGTCGGAGTAGATGTGGTCGGAGGATCGCGCCGCATCGTCAATGCATCGGCGATGCATCACCGATGCATCGCCGATGCATCAGCGATGCATCGGCGACGTCGGCGATGTATCGGAGACGCCAGCGTGGAGAAAATCGGGCTCCACATCGAGCCGAATCGCTGATGCATCGGCGATGCGGCGCGATCCTCCGACCCCATCTACTCCGACCCCATTTAGGAGGCCTAGGGTCTGGGAAACCCAAAAGGAAGAGGAGGAGGAGGAAATAAGGAGGAGGTAGGAAGGTACGGAGGAGAGGGGGAGGTGGAGGAGGAGGAGGAGGAAGGATGAGGAGGAGGGAAGGAGGAGGAAGGAAGGAGAGAGGAAGGATGGGAAGGGAGGGAGGGGAGAGAGGGGGGCGGGGGGGGGGAGGGGAGAGGAGGAGGAGGGCTGAGCGGCGGGGACAACCCCGACGGCCGCGGAGACCGCTCCCACGGGCCCGCCGGGTCCTCGAGGGCAGCTCCGCGGCCAGCGCCGGGGGGGTCGGCGGCGGCTCCTCCGCGAGCTCCCCCGGGCCGACCTCTCCGCGCGGGAGGGCGGCGCGCCGGCGCCGCCGCGATCGACGGGCCGAGCGGGGATGGGCAGGGGCGACCGACAGCTCCCTCCTCCCTCCTCCCCCTCCCCCTCCTCCCTCCTCCCTCCTCCCTCCTCCCTCCCCTCCTCCCTCCTCCCTCCTCCCTCCTCCCTCCTCCCTAGGTCGGCAGGTGCATCCACAGCTCGGCAGCGCGTCGAGGGAGTGCCAGGGCGGCAGGTTCCTAGGGCGTCGGGCCCAGGACAGGGGGGCACCCCTCAAGAGCAGGAGGCCCTCCGCCAGCCAGCACACGCACAGAGAACAGCCGAGGGTGCCCTCCCCCCCAGGATGCACGAGAACATCCAGCAAACGGGAAATCATCAGGGTACCCTCTCCGAATCGACCTCGATCTCGTGCCCTGGTCCGACTGTACGACGGTGGATCGATGGGCCAATATGGGTCGATCGACGATCGACGGATCGAAGGGTCGGTCCACAGATCGATCGGCTGATCTGTACAGCTCGATCGGAAGATCGATAGATCGACACAATGAGGGGGATCGATAGATCGATATGATTAGAGAGATCGATAGATCAATAGACATCCTCCTCCTCCTCCGCCTCCTCCTCCTTGTCCTCCTCCTCCTCCTCCTCGTCCTCCTCCTCCTCGTCCTCCTCCTCCTCGTCCTCCTCCTCCTCCCCCTCATCCTCCTCCTTCCCCTCCTTCTCCTCCTCCTCCTCCTCCTTCTCCTACTCCTCCTCCTCCCTCCTCCTCCTCCTCCTCCTCCTCCTCCTCCTCCTCCTCCTCCTCCTCCCCCTCCTCCCCCTCCCCCTCCTCTTCCTCATCATCCTCCTCCTCCTCGATAGACCGATCGATGGATCGACGCATCGACAGCTCAGAGATCGCTCCTCGATCGACGACCGATGGCCACGCGGAGGGCCTCCGAGGGGGCTCGCGCCGCGCAGGGCGCACGCCGCGCGACGCCTCGGAAGCCTCGCCAGGCCACGGGGCCCCATCGGGGACGCGTCGTCGTCGTCGTCGTCGCCGTCGTCGTCGTCGTCGTGGTCGTCGTCGTCGTCGTCGTCCTATCTGGGGTGGGGCCTATGGACTGGGTCAGTCAAGCCTTGCAGGATCCTGCGAGATCCTGCAGGCTCCCGCGGCATCCTGCACGCCGGCCCGGGCCAGTGCACACCCCTGGCTCTGCAGGCTCCCGCCAGATCTCCGGCGCTCTGGCGAGACCCCCGCCGGCACTGGCCCCCGTCCCGAGGCTCCCGGCCCCGGAGGAGAACGGCTCGGGACGAGGAAGCGCCGGTCCTGGGGAAGGGGCCAAGACCCCTGGGGGTCCACGTCGTCGATCGATCGATCGATCGATCGAGGCTCAAGGATCGAGGTTCGATCGATGAAGACTCGAGGATCGGCCGATCGAGGATCGAGACTCGATCAATCGAGGTTTGATTCATCGAACTTCGATCAATCGAGGTGCGAAGACGGGGTTATCGCGGTGCTAGGCTCTAGAATCGAGGCTCATTCTGCCTTCTTCGTTTCACCCCAGCAGATCGCGCAATGTCCTGGTTTGCAATGCCCTGGTTTCTGAGGCCCTGATCCCTGCCCCTTCTTGAGCCTCCGGAGGCCTCTGGGGGGCCTCCCCGGCTGCTGGGATCCCTGGAGGCCTCCAGTATCCTCTCCGACTCGTCGCCGCCAGCATCGTCGTCGTCGTCGTGGCTGTCGCCGCGGTCGTGGTCTTCCTCGTCCTGAGCTTCGTCGTCGTCGTGCTCGTCGTCCTCCCCTCCTCATTGAATGGAATTGGCATCAACGACGAACAGAGCGGAGGGCGAGTAGAGCGTAGAGAAAGGAAGAGGAGCAGCAGCAGGAGAAGGAAGAGGAAGAGGACGAGGAGGAGGAGGGAGGAGGAGGAGGTTCTGAGGATTCTGCATTGGGTCATACAGAGCTCCAGAGGGGGGAGGTTCGTGAGGAGGAGGAGAAAGAGGGAGATTGACAGAGCGAGGGGGGAGGAGTATGGGGGAAAACCCGTCCACCGCCCCCGGCCCATCTGCTTCTGCACCTCACCCTCATCCCCATCCTCCTCCAGTCGCTCTCTCTCTTTCCCCTCCTGTCCATCCTCGTCCTCCTACCCATCCTCCTCCTCCTCCTCGGCCTCCTCCTCCTCCTCCGCCTCCTCCTCCTCTTCTACTCCGTTTCCTAACAGATAACTCCTCCCTATCGCACCCCGAGGCCAGTCGAAAGGGCGGGCCGGGCGTTTCGCCTGAGAACTCCTGACAATGCATGATCCTGAAACTTGAAATTTACAACAATTTCACGGAGGCAGAGCGGCCCACTTTTAAAATGTAACTCTCGCCTTACCGCCGCGTACATTCGTTTGAAAAATACCAGAACTTCACGGATGGAATGCGGTCCGATTTCAAAGTGTGACTCTCGCCTTAGCGCCGCGCACATTCGTCTGCAAAGTTTGCAAGAGCTTGTCGGGTGGAGGGCGGTTGCTTCTCAAGATGGGGCTCTCGCCTTAGCGTCGCGCACATGCGTCTTGAAAGTTTGCAAGAGCCTCACGCATGGAGGGCTGTTCATTTTCAATGTATGGCTCTCGCCTGAACTCCGCGCCTGAACTCTGAGCTTCATGGATGGAGGGCGGTTCCTTTGCAAAATGTGGCTCTCGGCTGATCGCCGCGAACATTCGGCTTACGAATTCGCAACAGTTTCAAAGATTATCCGTGTTAGCGTCCCACAAATCATGTTTTGGCACGATGTCGGAATGTCAAGGAGCAGCATGTACATTGCTTAGCGCTGCTGAAGTCCCAAGAACTGTGTTATGATGCGATTCCGGACCGTCAAGACGCAACCGTTACGGTGATTCGCAGCGTTGAAATCCAAGGAGTGGTGTTCTAACACAACTCTGGGTGTTCAAACTGTTGTCTTCCAACAGGGCATATCCCGAAATGAAGAGGAATCAGTGTCGGAGCCTATGAAGGTGAAACTTGGAGGGAGGGTGTCTTGCAATATCGTTGATGCGTCTTGGGTTTACACTGGTCCTCCTCGTCCTCCTCCTCCTCCTCCTCCTCCTCCTCCTCCTCCTCCTCCTCCTCATACCTCTCTGCCCGTATCCTTAAAGACTGCAGCACGCTGCCGAGCAGTCAGAGGCATGGGCGGCAGACCTTGGCCTTGGCCGCGTCGCCAGTGGGCTTCTTCTGCCTCGCAGCCAGGGCCGACTTGAGCGAGCTTCCCTTTGCCTGGGGGCACCGACGCCGACGCCGACGCCGACGACGGCAATGACGACGCCGCCACTGCCTTCCAAGGTGGAGGAGGTGCACGTGGAAGCCGCTACTGCGCTCCAGCGGTCCCCAGAGGCTTCCAAAGGCCTCCAGCGGCCCGATCAACAACAAAATCGCCGAGGACGACAACGACCATGACGACAAAGGCGACGGCGACGCCGACGCCGACGACGCCGAGGACGCCGACGACGCGGGCAGGCTGGGGGGATGATGAATTATGAGGAGGCAAGGGGGGGACGAGGGGGAGGCGAGGGGGGGCGGAAGGGGGCAGAAGAAAAGAGACGCGGGGAGGAGGGGGGGGGAAGGGCGAGGAGGAGGAGGTTAGGGATAAAAAGGGACGGGGGGAGGAGGGGGAGGAGGAGAACGAAGAGGAGAAGAAGGAGGACGAGGAGGAGGAGAACGACGAGGAGGAGCCGGAAGGAGGGAAGCACGAGCCACTGAGGAAGCGCGTCCAAGCTACCCGAGCGCGCCCTGCTGGGAACCAAAACTTGTGCCCCCCCCGACTGGGTTGGAACGCTCAGCAGCAAGCTGACGCCCGTGCACGGTGGCTGCAGCCCGCAGTGGTGGCGAGCATACATGCCAAAACGGTCCCAGAACCCCAAGCGGGGGGACTCGCTGAGGGACACCCCGCAAACAACCACGGGCCCAGGAACAGAGACGACATCCTGAGGCCACTTCTGGGCCTCATCTAAAACGCAATCCGAAGCACAAAAAAAACAGAAACCTGCCCCAAGTAGAAAGACTCCCACACCTGGAACATCTATCACGCTTGCCACACTGAGGTACATGGTGAGCACTGGCGCGGGCGGCTCGATCCCTCTTGGTCCCCCGTCGAGCTCCCTTGGTGGCTCTGACAGGACCGGCCGCTACAGAATCCGCCAAGGACCTGCGGGCCCTTCTCCTGACCAGGGACGCAATCACATCCCACGGGTAGTCAAGTGCGCGTCCGCAGTGCGCCCAAGCTCCCAGTTACGCTCAGCTGCTTCCCAGCAGCAGTGTTAGCTGCGGCGCTGCTGGCAGCCAAGAAACGTTCTTGGGGGGTGAGACTGGGATCGTCGGGATCCACATGACAGGGGGTCCAATCAACAGAAACCTCGCCTTCCCCGCGGCTCTCAGGAGCCCTTCTGATGCGCAACCCGAGGTCTCCGTTCCGCCCGTCGCAAAACCGGAACCTACCCAGCTCACAACCAACGAACAGAGGCCTGTGGCCCGTCACAAAAACGAATGGGACCCACAGAAACCTAAAGAGACCAACACCGTCGTTATCATCATCATCATCATCATCATCATCATCATCATCATCATCATCATCATCATCATCATCATCATCATCATCATCATCATCATCATCCTCATCCTCATCCTCATCCTCATCCTCATCCTCATCATCATCATCATCATCATCATCATCATCATCATCATGACCACCACCAGCATCATCATCATCATCAGCAGCAGCTGCGAAATCATCATAAACAGAATCCTCATCATACTCATCATCATCAGCATCAGCATCAGGATCATCATTATCATCATCACCATCATCATCATCATCATCAGCAACAGCAGCATCATCATCCTTATCATCATCAGCATGAGCATCAGCATCGTCACCATCATGAACATCATCATCATCATCACCACCATCGGCATCATCATCATCATCAGCATCAGCATCCTCATCATCAGCATGAGCGTCACCAGTGTCATCATCAACATCATCAACATAATCATCGTCATCATCATCATCATCATCATCATCATCATCATCATCATCATCATCATCATCATCATCATCATCGTGATCATCGCCATCATTTCTATCATAATCATCATCAGCAGCAGCATCACCGTCATCAACATCATCGGCATCAGCATCAGCAGCAGCAGCAACATCAGCATCATCAGCATCAGCATCAGCATCATCAGCATCATCAGCATCATCAGCATCAGCATCAGCATCTGCATCTCATCAGCAGCATCATCATCGGCAGACATCAGCATCAGCATCACCACCACACTCATCGCTACCACCCATCACCACCACCACCACCACCATCAGCATCATCATCATCATCATCAGCAGCAGCAGCATCGACAGCATCGTCAGCATCATCATCACCACCATCACCATCATCATCATCAGCATGAGCGTCATCAGTATCATCAGTATCATCAGTATCATCATCCTCATCATCAGCATCCTCATCATCCTCATCATCGGTACCATCATCAGCATCATCAGCATATTCATCATCATCAGCATCATCACCGTCATCATGGCAATCATCATCAGCACGATCATCAGCATCATCAGCAGCAGCAGTATCAGCAGCATCATCATCTACATCATCATCAACAACAGCATCATCATCATCGCCATCATCAGCAAAGCCACCATCAGCAGCAGCATCGGCTTCATCAGCATCAACAGCATCATCATCAACAACAACAGCATCATCATTCCCATCACAAGAATCAGCATCATAATCAGCATCAACATCAGCATCATCATCAGCAGCATTCCCATCATCATCAAAAGCATCATCAGCATCATCATTCCCATCACAAGCATCCTCATCATCATCTTCATCCGAATCATCATCATCACCACCGTCATACCTATCAACGCCTCACCACACGGACCCTGAATCTTCGCGGCCCACTCCAGGTGCAGGAAGGCCTCCTCCCCCCGCCACCCTCCTTCCCTCCCGCTCCCATCTTTTCTCCCCTGCTTTCGCTTCCTTCCCCTCCCCCTCCTCCTCCTCCTCCTCCTCCTCCTCCTCCTCCTCCTCCCTCCCCTCCTCCCTCCTCCCCTCATCCTCCTCCTCCTCCTCGTCCTCTCCCTCTCTCCTCCTCCTCCCCCCGCCTCCTCATTGTCCTCCTCCTCCTCCTCCTCCTCCTCCTCCTCCTCCTCCCTCCTCCTCCTCCTCCTCCTCCTCCTCCTCCTCCTCCTCCTCCTCCTCCGCCTCCTCCCCACCCACCCGCCCCCCCTACTCACGCGCCCGCCCGCCCACCCCCGTCAAACCGCAACACCTCCCCTCACCGCCGTCCGTCCTCGTCGAACACATCTACAACTACACGCATCAAAACTGCACCTTGTTGCTGGGACCAGGTGTGGCAATTATTATTAGATTTGGCGCATCGGTCGGTCTGGGTGGACGGACACCGCTTCGCGACCTACGATGGAAGGCGATGATCGCGCCGACGACGTTGCGTGCCAAGCGTGGAAGCGATCACCACGTTGCACGGGAAGGCTTGGCAACAGTCGCAAGACAAATCATAACGCGAACAAGCGTTTCACCCTCGGACGGGGAATCCGGCACGAAGAAGAACTCGAAAGCGCGGGGATCGGACCGCGAATTTGCTGCTGGGGCACACGCGGGGGAAGGAAACGGGCCGCGCGAGGTCGAGGCCCCCAGGCATATGGCTGGCTTCCCTGAGCCAGGGGATGCGGGACGTCGGTGGGGAGCGGCCCACGGGGCGGGGCCTCGGCGGTGGGCAGCGCGGGCAGCCGATACTTCGCGAAAAAGGAACACGTACAGAACGGCACTTAGCGGCCCGGGTGCGGTACACGTTGGGAGCGCGAGTGGCGGCACCCGACA